CTTCATAAAGAAACAGAGCATCTGCCTATGCACCGTTTCAACACTGAACACCAGTATACATTACAAGCATGTATTACACACTAGTGAATTACTGAATGGAAGGAGTAAAACCTAGTAAAGACAACAATCTGGAACACAAGCAGCACAGCCCAGCAGTGCTTTCTCAGCCTGGCTCTGACAGTCCCATGGTTCAGTTCAGCTTCCTGGATCCTGTCTCAAGTTAACACGGGCTGATCTAGGATTGGACACACCAGGAGGATGCTCTCTCTCAGCAGAGCACAAAGGGTTAGTTCATTTATGACTCAAGCTGATTTTTAGATTCTGTCTTTGCTATATGACATTCTTGCCTCCCACCAAAGCCTATTAATGGTGTGACACTATAGCGAAGGGCTAAGAAGCACTTATCCTCTGGTGTCAATTCACAACAGCTTCTGTTTCCATCTGATGCACCAGCTTAAGCATGGCTCCTTCGCTTTAAGGCCTCTACTAATCCTCTGGCTTCACACTTACTCTGCTCCCATCTTGACCTGTCTGCCCAGGAGGAGGGTCCCCGGGACAGACACTGCTGTCCCCCCAACTGCTCTCACACACTTGACTCTGCACAAGGACCCCAAACCAAACTTTGTTTCATTTTAACTGATGCTCCTTCCTGTGCTGCCACACCAGAGCCCTTCTGGAACTGATGCTTTCAGAACAGCTGGACTGGAAAGAGGTAAGGTGGGAGGGAGGGGGAGGAAAGAGGAGGCAAGAAAAATAAAACAAATACAATTGCTTTTTGTCTCTAAACCCCTCTTTTTAACCCAAGGAGTGTCTCATCCAATGAAGCATGATGAGCATGAAGTGTTATATAAAGAAGATAATTATAAAGGGATTTAATGCTTGGCAGGCTCGTATTGGAGGTTTATAAGCAGAGGTAGCATACTCACTTAACCAGCCTTGTGTCCGGGTTTGCTATTATGCGGGTGGCGCGGCTGGGGCCAAGCGGAATCAGAAACAAGATTTGTTTTAAGGAAAAAAAAAAAAGAAGAGCACAGCCCCCTTCCCACCGAGGATGGCAGCTCCAGTCCCACCTCCTTCCACTTCTGTCCCATCCCTGATTAATGATGTTGTCTGCCTGATTTATGACCCACCCCAACAGATTAGAGTTTCCCTCTTCAACCTCCCCCCGCCTTTCACCCCTCCCAGAAGGCACAGCCACACTCCGCTGGAAATATTAGAGAATTATTAAATAAACATTCATACGTCATGTCTCTTCCCATACTGAGCTCATCGTAGTCAACGCTCAGCGGCCGGGTCCTGTTTGCTTTGGGGCTGACACCAAACAGCTGGAGTGATTCATGGAGAGGCTGGCTACAATGCTCTGTGCCATATATCATGCTCGCAGCGCTCCCTGCCCCGGCGGAGATAAACTGATCAACCACAACGGGCTGGAATGAATTTATGACAACACAAAATTGAGGAAAACAAATGGGAGGTGACCCAGTGGGCCACTAACCCAGACTCTCTCGCTGGCCTGCAATCTAGTCTGGTGGCAGAAAGCAAAATTGAACATTGGCACTCTGAATTAAGATGCTGGCTTTTAACCCCGGGAAACCTCGGTTTCAAAATGGCACCAGACCCTTGCAAGCAGCATTGTGGGAGGGAGGGGGGGAGGAAGACTTTTTGTGGGGAAAGTGCTTTCTGCAGCTCTCTGTGCGTGACAGTGCTTTGGCTGAGAGTACGATGTTGGTGGAGGAGCCAAGGAGGATACCTGCGCAACTAGGGGCTGGCTGCTCTCCCTGAGCAAAGCTGCATCTTGAGTTCAGAGACTCAAGATGGGCAGAGTCAAGTCTTCAGCAGATGGGCTGCAGCCAGTGCAATGCTTTCCCCATGAACCTTCAGGGTGTCTCTCCCAGACACCTCGCATTGGTGAGATTAGAAAAGTTCAGCAGGGCTGAGACACCCCACAGTGTTGGGACCAGGACAACTTCCCTCATTACCTATGGCTGCCACCTGAAGTTCAATGCAACACAGGTGAGCCCGACAGTGAAAAATCTGCCCAAGCTACCAAGGACCCAGCATATGCTGGGACCAGCATCATGTCTCATTACCTGTGGCTGCCATCTGACGTTCAACATAGATGAAGTCAACCTTCCCAAGCTACTGATGACCTGGCATGGCACAAGGCGTGAAGCAACAAAGGCAGACTTACCCCAAACCCCATCTAGTTATTCAACATGCAAGAGACTTCCACCAGACCCTAAGTTTAGACTAAATTAACTTGCCTAAGCAGAGCTTTAGCAGTGTGTCAAAAGGAGGACTACCTGCTGTACTGTATTAATGGATTAAAACCCAAACAAAACCACACTGCTCTCCTTGCTAGGCTTATTTTTGGAAGAGGGGAGGGGGAAGGAACGTCATTCTTATGAGAGAAGGATCAATAGCGGATCGCTGCTAACTCTATTAGGCACTGCTCTGAAGAGAGAGCACGGCTGACACAAGAGGTAAGCCATGTGCTTGTGGACAATTTAAAAAATGCTAATCAGATGCTGCGCAGGGTTTAACATGCCAGTCAATACCGCTCAGATTTAAAGGCAAAAATTAAAGTTACAAACAATGGAGTAAAGTGATGCTGCCAAAAACTTCCTGTAAGCACCGCCCAAAACAAGAAAAATGAAACCAATTTAGCTCCAGATTAAGAAACAGGAACTGAAGATGAATCAATTTAGCCTGTTGGGCTGGGTCGCCATATATCATGGCTCAGCAGTGGAGTGGGAAGCAGCCAGACAGTGTGAAACCCTTCCCCCTCCTTTTCTGTAGGCTTCTAGCTCTGATCCCTGTTATCAATTAATTTAACAGAACCCCTCTACACAGACAAGCACACAGAGCATTCAGACTCCTTAAATGGCAGGACAGAAACTATTTATCACACACAAATCTCAAAGGAAAGGAGAGGGGGGAAAAAAAAGGAATTCTCCACCTGAAACACCATCTTGTTTTCTGAACCATGGTGAAATAAAAAGCCTTAAATAAAAACCTCTACCTTCTACTTCCAAAAAAAACCAACGTTACTGGAAACATTCAGCAAGGCACTTAAGGCTTTTCCTGTAATTTCTATTAGGTTTTGCTGACATTTTGGACCTTTTGTGGAACTGAAGCTTTAGTGGGGCAAGGTTATTGCAGAGCAAGGTGTGTGTGCGTACATGTGCGCGCACACACGCACATACGTGCTCCCTGTACTTCACAGCAGTGTTAGCACAAGTGTTGTTTGGAAAGGATTCCGGGATCCTTCAAAAGGTGCAAGCTAAAGCCTCTTTGATCAGATTATTAAAGCTATGTCAATTTTATCACTTGAACTCAAGTGTTCTGGAAAATGTCAAATCCTTTCAGCTCCTGCAGTTTAAAGATTTTCAATAGGAGTGGATCTGGGAGGCTAGAGGGCTGCTGGGCTGACAGGCAAGAGGCCCAAAGGGAAGCCAAGCAGTGGCTGAGACAGAGGCTGACAGATTAGGGCAGAAGGGATGAGTCCTTGCCACCAAGACAGCATGCAGTGGTTGCTCACTCTAAGGACAAAGCTGCTTCTGCACTGACCTGCAAGGCCAAACTCAGTGGTCCTTGGACAGTCTGCTCACTGAGAAGCACAGACAGCCCATATTTGGGACATGCTAATAAAAAGACTTCTAAAAAGGAAAGTGCCGAGACAGCAAAGCAGTATTAAAGTTTCCTCTTGCAGCAGGGAGTTTCCCCAGTTAACCCCTAACTGTGAACATATGCTTTGCCAGGATGGCTGAACCATCAAGAGATCCCAAAATGTGCCAGGAACGCAAATTGGGACCAGGAGGCAGAAGGAGAACAAACTACATTTAAAACCCCCAACTTTACAGGAAATCAGCTTAACGCTATCACCAGAATTTTTCCTCAATCACAAATTATCAATAGGTCTCAGCCTCAAAATGTAAATGCCATCTGTTTAAAACCCATAACTACCTCATTGCTTCCATCTCATTCGAGCTGTTTTGTCTCCCACTTGATCTTGGGGGAACATTTTATGTCAGGCAACAATCAACTTAAAACACATCAATTAATGCAGTCCATGGCAGCAGTGAAGAGCCTGCAGTTTTAGGCTTGGACTGTCGAATCTGCCTGAGCAATAAGTCACCATAGCAGCGTGTGAAAGGAGGCTGAGGACAGAGGTTGTTATTCAAATGCACTATTGCATATTCCAACACTTCTGAATCAACTGGAAAGGCTGCAGGTGAAAACCTCAGGAACTGAGGCCTTATTTCCATTAGCAACCATACAAAGATGAAATCAGGATCCTAAATGAAAAGAAATTATCTCAGTGATGCTTCTGTCAAGTTACAGGGCTGCTGGGATTCCCTTTTGCTGGAGAGAAGGAGCGTGAAAAATGCAAGTACCACAGAGAAAACAGAATAGAGACCATGTGAAGGAATGCTCTCAAAACCCAAGATGGAAAGATAAGGTAACTTCTCCTGTAAAAGCAGGATCCCATGATACATTTATAGCAGAAATCTTGCAATAAGTACAGCTTGACAAGCCATTTACTTTGGCCACATTAAAGTGGGTTTGAATCTTCACCTCCTGTTCAAAGTCCCAGCTCTAGTCTAGGCTGTTATGCATCACTCAACATATTTGAAAACACACTGTAACTAGAATATGGTGGAAAACATGGATATATCTATTTACATAATTTAAAAGAAGGCAATTTGCAGTGAAGAAGCCACTTGGAAGTTGTGCTCAATTCCTTGTGATTGGGTACCTGCCTATGCAGGTTATCTGGGGAAGAACTCCCCCGCAGGCCCTCTGTGGGCACAGCAACAGCAAGTCAGGACACCAACAGCTCCAAGTCCAGGCTTCACATTGGAGCACAACTTCTTTTCTCAGTGCTAAAAGCTTCAAACATGCCTACCCTCAGAGTAGCATTGCTTCTGGGAACACCAGGTGAGACGCTATGGTTTTTTTAAAAAAAGAAAAATGAAAGCTATCCACTTTACACTCACTTTTCAATGTCACTGTTCTTACAGGTCTTCTGCATGGTCTCCTGTTTACTGCTTTCGCCATTACTCGTTGAGGGCATTTCTGCTGGGGAAGAACAGACAAATTAGTAAGAGGGCATTTGATCCTTGCAATGAAACAGTCTGAGTGAGTTACAGCTTCAGAAGCAGAGGATCCCTATGAGTTACTTTCATGCTGATTCTTGGAAAGAGAGAGAAGAGACTGATGCTACGTGTCCCTGTCTGGGAGGGAGGCCCTCTCTTTGGAAAGCACGCTTCTATGATTCAGGGCTGAAAATACAATTCCTACGGTCTCCCCACTTCGTACTTTCTGACCCTCACAGATGTAGCACTTGTTCAAGCCAGGATTTAATTCAGAATGATCTGATGTGGCTGCCACGCCAAAGCGTACTTCTTAAAAGTTGGTTCTGGAGCAAAACCCCTGCTCTCAGCTTCTCCCTTTTTCTGAGACCCCTCAGACATCAACAATATATGCCAGGTAACCAGTATGACAGAAGAGTCTGCTCACAGGTCTCCTAGTACTTGCAATCCTATGGCTCCTCCCAGCACTGGAGGAGGTGTGAGATACCAGCTGGAGATGAGCCAGGTGAACTGTCCTAGGGTGAGCCCCTGAGCTGTAGGTTCAGTACAGTGGTTTTGAGTAAAAGGTATGAAGAAAACAGCTTATAGCAAATGTCATTAGGGCTCCTTCCTCATCACCTCTGTGGCTGTAGTTACTGAAGCTGAACACACCTAAAGGCAACTGTTCCTACATCACAGAAAATAAATGAGATTGCCTATCCCACAGAAGAAAATGCCTGCGATAGATATCCTATGTTCTTCCATTTCATCATCATGCCTTTGGCAAACTGGTTCTACCCACCCCCCTCCCACTGGCAAGCAATTATGTCTTGTAGGTACTTTCAAGGCTGGGAATCAAATGCCCAAAGCATTACAGTAAAAGAACAGTGAACAAAATCACTGGGACAAGTCTCTTCAGGTCGCCGAGCTTCAGTTCCCTTCCTAAGGGAGCTGGAGTAGCACTGCCCAGCTCTGGAAATGGATTTGGCATCTACAGCTGGAAAGTGCCAGGTTTTATCATTCTCATATTTCCACTAGGTTGCTGCTTACACTTCCAGTGCTACAGGCATTAAATAAAAAAAACACAGCGGTCCAATGGGTTTAACACCCTTGTGCCCTTAATGCTATGAGCTCTCAAATAATGCATGCATAGGTACAATGTCACATTCACTCGTTCACGCTGGAGTCTCAACAACAGGTCATCAAGTAGGACAGATCCTAGAGGTCCCACTTCAAAGGTGGAGGCTTCAGAGCTGCAGGCTTTTCTTTCCCTACAGAGGCAGGCAAGGACAAGACCGACCCAACAGATCATGATACAAGTCCCCAGCACACCCTTTTAAAGAAGCAAGGATGGTAAAAAAGTTGTTGAAAAAGACCTAAACAGCTGGTGCCTGTGTAGTTTAACTGCCCAGCAGCTGAACTCTGCCACCACACAGTCGAGCTCTGATGGCCCTCTCTGTGATACAGCAGTTTGTCTTTTAGTGACACAACAGCAAGTCAATCCAACCCCTATCTCTTATCACTGTATCAGTTAAGGTTGCATTTTTGGGAACTCCTTCAGCTGTCGTTAACTCCAGCTGATTGTGTGGTAAAGTTTCACAAAGATAGTGTGATTGTACGTGCATACATATCTGCTGCTACTGTGCTAAAGTATGTGTAACTATGGTTTGCCTAATTACTGGCAATTGGAAGATACGGAGTATCTACCTGCCCTCTTGCAGCACACACATTAATATTTCATAAGTTCAACACTCACCATCGCTGGCCCATTTAGAAAACTCCGGTGTTATTCGGGTACTGGGTGTGCCACCACTGAAAGAGAAAAGGGCAGAATGTTAAAGGTTGGACATGGGAAGTTCTGCTGCTCAGGAAAAGCTACCCCTTCCACCCAGCAGTTCTCTCTCAATACTTCTATCCATCAGTCTAGGCTTCAAAATGTGAGCAGTTGGTCTGCTCCAGGTGTTTTTGTGCTAATCCACATTCTGCGACCTCTGCTGAATCACATGGGGATAGTGATGTTAACTGAAGGCCTGGGATTCAGAGAGCATCTGTGACCTAAGGCTCGTTTTTGAATACACAATTTCAAAGATGAAAACCTTACTCTGAAAACCCTACTTGTGAACAGAAATCCTCAGTGCTGCAATAGCTTCTCCCTTTAAGAATAACTTTACACCTTCATAAGCCCCATCTTTTCCATCTTCCCATCTGAAGAACAGCAGCGCTGAAGTGCAGACAACTCAAAACCCTGTCTATTCACTTGCAAGCCGGCAAGAGAATGTGAGAGAAAGGAATCTTCTGAGCAGGCTGCACACCTGTGGCTGTATAACATTTTGGCTCTATGTGCTCTATGTGCTAGGACAGTTGCACTCAAAAGGTAACACAGGCTCATGCTCCATAGCATCAGCTACCCTACTGTGTTTCTACAAAAACCTGGCAATTTCAAAGTGCTTTTACAAGCAGCATCACCTCTCCTGTTTTAGAGATGGGCAGACAAGCTCATCCTGGAGACGTGCAAGGACATTGCCCAAACAGTGAAGCAATGTACTAGGTGCAAGCCACATGAAGGAACTTGGTCTCTTGGCCTCAGGACCTCAACTGTCTCACCAAGCACTAAGTGTCCACAGTCACTCACAAGGGATACCCAGATATCCTCCTGCTACAATACCACTGTCCTGGCTGTGAAAGAGTTCCAGCATCTTTGAGGCCCTGTCTATGGACCAGCATGGTTAGCAAAGTATATAACAGACCAGTGGTTTGGATCCAGTGTGGCAAATGCCACTTTTCTATGGAGTGGAACCTAATTTTGAACTAGTGTTTGTGACAGGCTAAGCAGTAAGAAAACTTCATTTCACTGCTCTATCAATCACTTCAACCTTGACCTCACAAGATCACCCCGTGAAAGAGACAGAGGGATAATTTAAGCCCTGTTTTATGCAGGGCAGAGGGCTTAGAAAGCAATCCTAGCTCCGTGTTAAGACTCATTTTATTTGCCTGAAAGCCGCCCCAGGCACCCAGAATACTGGCTGCCTACATTCTCCACATATGTATGTGGGCAGAGCACACATCCTGCCCCAACACCAGAATCAAACGCAGAAGGATTAGTCTGCATGCCTCACAACACACAATATGATGCAATGAAATCATACCCTGGGTGCCAGACTCCAAATGTGCTGAACATGATTCAGCCAGCATCACATTATACTACTAAGAAGCCACACTTCATCGTGAAGCAAGTTGATGCATAAAGTATTAGTACAACACAGTTTCTCCATCGCCAGAATTCACCTTCTGTCCAGCCCCTTCAGGGAGGAGATGGCACTGGCTGGGAAGCAGGGTGGTTAAGGGAGGGAGAGTGTACACAGAGGCTTTATAAAGTTGCATGGGCAGAAATGGAGACCCACCCATCACACTATGCTTCATCTAAGTCTCTCTTGTTGCGATCCTTGCACTCAAGTGGTTGAATAAATTGAGATTCCCCCAAAAGTAATAAAAGCAAATTATAAAGGTACAGTACTTACTTTAAAACAGCACCTCGGAGCGCTTCCCTCTCTTTGGCTTCACCTGGCTCTTCCCCAGTGCAAGGGATAACGTCTGCCTCTGTGTACCTGAACACAAGGGATTAAGGAGCATGCAGTCTTGCTGGAGATAGTGGAAAGGCTTTTGAGATGGTTAGGACACTATCTGGGATATAGAACAAATTCATTCCAACTGGAAACACCTCAAAGGAAGAGGGGCTGGTATTCATGGAGGGGCTTGCTTTTAAATTCCTGATTAAAGTCTGGTTTAGGTGGAAAGAAACAGAAAAGTCTTTTGACAGCAACATGATGCCACAGCTTTCTAGAAGGGGAAAACCAGTTCCTCAACCTCTGCAAGCCTACCTTGCACAATTCCACTATTTCTGTTTGAGGTACAGAGATCTTTTACCAGCTAAGAGCTGGGGCTTCAGTCTTAAAGGCTGGTACAGATTTCAATACGGTCTAATTCTATAGCTATACACTCCCCCTCATCACAGCTAAGTCAATGTCTACCTAATACCCTTGCATGAATGCCTCCTTGATGGAGGAGAACTGTGTCTGAAAAGCTTGGCTCCCAGACAGAGAAGCTCCCCATAACTGCCCTTAATGATTGTCCATATCTAATGAAAGGAGTGGCAGGTGAATAGTGCACAAAACTCCTGAAAACAATGGATTATCTTGTGGAAAATAAACTCAATGCCTACCCATGAAGCAGGAAAAACTACCCACATGGAAGAAACATGGATTTGCTGATCTATCTTCCTGGTTTGCTTATAAACCAGAAAGATAGATCACTAACTCTGATCTCCTATAATATCTCCTACAGACCTCTCCAACCAGGTCTGAAGTAGCACTGCATCAACAGAAAGTTCTCAAAGGGGGTAACTGAGAATTCCTCCTCTTTCAAATAACATGGTAACTGGAGAAGGCTGTGCCATTTCCAGTAGGGCTGGACACAGACTATCCACCAATACCCAGGATGTGCTGTAGGAAAGCTAGCTGAAGATGCATCTCTAAATTCCCTCTCAGTAAGAGCCTTTCAAAAATGATACTGTGCTTTCCCGTATTCAAGTGTGTCGTCTCCATCCACATCCAAGTCAGCGTCGCTGTCTGGATTCTCCTTGCCACTGCACATGATAAACCCAGAACCTGGAAGAAAATAAACCACATGGATGAGCATTTGAATTAGAGATGAAGTGTACAAGATCTCCTAAGCATGGTGCAACAGCATCAGTCTGCAGGCTGTCCTTACTCTTAACAGCCTCACAAAAGGTATCATCTCCAAAGGCTGCAAAAGAATAATCTTTAGGAGACTACAGAGAAAGCACTCACAGAAATGCTCTAACTTCATGTATTTTATGCTCTAAAATGCCCCTCAACACTGACATTTTTGCTCTCCACGAGTTACTTTAAAGCTGATGGCACTGGCAGGCTCTCTCAAAGGCAGAAAAAAAACAGAAGCAAAATAGGGAAGACTGGTTTTTCAGAGAAGTGGTTAATACAAAAACTGCATAACTAACAGGTAAGAGAAGGCCACAGGGACCGCTGGAATTAGTCCTTAACTCAGCTGCAAAGGGCAAGCAGAGACTAAAATACAATCAGAAACGCCATTTTATTTTTTAAATGCATTTAACCATGGCTTAGATTTTTACAATACAAAAACATATAAGAATGGGAAACCTGTTTCTAGGAGAGGGGAAGAAATAAAATAAAACCCAGAAAGCCTCCACAGTCACCAACAGCTCCTTACAAGTACTTCAGTGAGTAAATTCCAGTGAAAGTCAAAAAGAGTCCTGCACTTCCAACATAGGTGGATCAGGCACAAGACCAGTCAGTCCCAACTAAAGCTTTAACAGTTCCATTCGAGACTGAACTGTTTAACATTTGCCAGTTTCTAAAACCTTACACATTTACTTTGGTTCTCAAGCATTTTGTCGTCTGTTTTACTGCTGATAGTAACCAAGCTTCTTTTTCTTGAATTGGTGTGCAAACACTGACAAAGATGAACCTTCGCATGGTATTTACTGCCTTAGGTTTATTAATAGAAGGGAAACTAATTTACTCTTTTACTCTTTAGATCTCTCTTTATGAGATCTAATACTGGATATGCTCTCTCCCATGAGACTGGAAATTAAACATCTCCTGAAACCTAGGGTGGTGTAAGGTCCTCATTTGTGTTCGATACTGCAGCAGATCTAAGCTGTTTAGGGATAGAAGCTAAGCAGGCAGAAATTTGCTCACTCCGGCTGCCTCCAGTACCTTCCTTCACTTAGCACCCCACTGTCCAGGCAGCAGACCTGGACACCTGGCTCACAGAAGGTAGCTGGTGGAGCCTGAAGGACCTGGCACATCCAGATGGCTGGTAACTTACCTAAGTCTATGACTAGACCAGGAGCACATCCCACCTGCAGACAGGTAGATGTAGTCCTGGCTTTGCACATATTCCCCACAGGGGTTACATTTCTGCACTTCGAATGTGGTTCTGAATGGACACAACAGGCTAAAATTAATCTAGAAGCACTGAATATAAGATGCATATCCAAAGAATGAGGACATTCCCAAGCATTAGGATAGCTCTTTTAGTGCTACAGATGTCCAAGTCTGTTCATCCCACTGGGCTCTCAACAGCAGACTTACATAAGCTTGTGCTGCCAGCTGCAAACTTGCACTTTCCTAGCCCAGAATAGTGAGCGCTATATCTAACAGCCTACATCTGTGCAGAGAGCAGGGCAAGGCGAAGGTCTCATTTCCAAGGACACCATGCAGGCACGGTTCTTTACTGTCACTCTCTAGGAACGGATGCTCTCACTGATTCATTAAGCCCCCAATAAAATTTGTTTATATGGATTTGATATTTCTCTTCCCTGAATATAAAGAAGGCCCTTAACGAGTGATAACCGTAGCATGGCAATGATTTTAAGACTAACCTTTCCCTAGAAGCATAAACTACCTTTTACTTCAAAGTAATTGCCAGCCTTAATCTTGAGCAGAGGTAACACGATGAGCATTGACAATGCAGCATCCACCATCTGTGCCAGGTACTGCAGGAGCCACACTTGTAGGTCAGCTCTGGGGTGTCACTGGGGCAGCTGTCACCTAGCAGGCCCCTTAATAAAGCACTTCACGTACTGGCTGCATGCTGCCAGCCAACACATGTCATGAGCTGCAATGGCTTATCTAGTAAATCTTGACTCCTTCAGTTCATCACAATGCTTGGGAGAAGATTTAGAGGAGCAAGAGAGACCTGTCAAAGAAGCTGGATAGTCTTTCAAAGCTGCCTCAAGTCACAGTGGGTGATGGCGTGGTAATTTACAGGAATGGCATTTAACCTTCAGTAACACCATCCCCTGCACCTGGCATTACTTTAGCCCATCACTTCTCAAAGGCCATAAACTTTGGACACATAGGTCTTCATTTTTCTTGTAACTGCAGGAAACACAAATCATGCAAAGCTGGAGCTGTGACTTGGCCAGTCCCAGAGGTGATCTGAACCTTAGCCAGACAATGAATACTTGGAACAAGTGCCTTGAGGAGAGTGAAGGTGTCCAAAAGAATGAGTGTAAGTGGGACCGCTCCCCATGTCTCTCCATCTGCAAGGATGCCAAGCATACATCAAATATGCACCTTTCCATCAATTTTGTTTCCAAATGACTCAAGCCAACTAGTGGTTTATGGTTAGAGCTTAAGAAGAGAAGATCTGCTTACTGTGATACAGTTTACAAATATTGAAGTACGTTGAATTCAGAATCCTGGTGTCCTTGCTCTCAAAACCTTTGTACTTAAGAAAATCCCTTTTAAGTCTGAAAGGAAAATATTCCAGAGCTTTTGCTGAATCTAAGTCTCTAATGGGAATCACTGCATTGCCACAGAATCCTCTCCTCTCTACACAGGGAGTGCACAGCGATGGGTTTGGGCAGTTATGTGTCACAGTGACAGATACAACTGGGATGACCTGAAAGAGCATTTCAGTCATAAAGGAGGTGTAGCAGAGAAGTTCATAGGTTAAGATGAGGGACAGGAGAAGGGTACATTTTCTTTCCTGATCAAATGCTGACTCCCAGGCCAGCAGCTAAAGGAAACCACAATAAGATGATCCAACTCTTAGATTTTTGCCAAATATGGATTTCTTTTTAACATGACCAAGTGCAGTCCATTGCAACATGGTAAAAACAAAGTGATTCAGAAAGTGTATGCTAACTGCTGACCAAAGGAACCTCTGCAAACCCAGAAAAGACTTTGAATATAAGTGGGGCTATCAGTTTTAGGACTTCAGAGGCTGCTTTACAAAAAAAAGGGGAAAAAACCCTCCACAAAATATGTTTCTGATGTGAATCAAAAGGTCCATGAATCTCAGTACTGCCCCTGCACACAAGAGAACAGCAAAGAGGATGCAAAGCTCAGTCCAGCATCACCTGCAGAGTGAATGGCCTGCCACTGGCATCCTAATGCCCCTTCATCTGCAGCAGGGCCGAGGGATGGATTTTGAGGCCAGTTCCAGTGGCCTGGGGTTTAGTGCCACAATTTCGACCTGACCCTCCTTGTCTAACTTCTTGGGATGCCTCCATGCACAAAGCCAGTGAAAACACCCAGGCAGCTGTTCAAATATTTGACGTCTGAACTGCTTGACATTATTCATTTATCTCAGGCTCATTCAAACCAGATTTCTGGAAAAGTGCTGTTATAAATGGATTAAGAGGACCACTAAATGCAAGGAAGGCCTGACAGGATCACACCTGCTTCTCACTAACTCAGCCCAAGTGTAAAGAGGGCTCACAACTTCCAGCTCCTGCCAGTAGTGTATGCTGCCATCCAGGAGCAAGGAAAATGTGAGATGGATTGCAGAGGATGTCGAGCAGAATAAAACTGCCTCTGCAATAGCATTGTTTTGGACCTACCATAGGAGAATGGGAGCTTCCAGAAGACCCCCTACCATTACACTTGAGTGATTTGCAATTCAATAGTATGTACTGGGAACAGAGAAGGGTTCCTCCAGCAAGGCTCAGCTTCTGAAGGTCATGCAATAATTCCGAGCCATCAGCAATGCTGCCTAGAGTGGACCTCTGAGGCCACTGCTACTATCCAGAGGTCAACGCTCGGGACCAGAACTTTATCCCAACGTGTTAATAAACTGAAATCCAACAACTGAATGTTGTGTGTTTGACCTAGGAATTTACAGGAGACTGTTATTCACAGAAACAGCTGCAACTCTTACAAGGAGAGATGTCACCTAAGGCCTGAGGAATGTAATTCCACATGTGAATGTGAAAACACTGCTTTCAGATGAAAAAAGAATACACCAAAATGCAGGCTCTCCTGTATCTTTCCCTTTCCTTGTTGAAGAAATTTTTGCTCTTGCTGTGCATTTGTTAGGAGGCAGCCACTTGTCATATACTGCCAGCCCCGATACAATTAGCCTCCTGATGCTAAAGCAGCACAATCCTCTGACAGTCTTAATCCCAGCTGCCTCCTTAAGGTCCAGACAAACAGGAGTGAGCAGGCAGGTCAGATGCTGGGGCCATTAAGCAGAGAAAAAACAAAGTTACAGCTCTGTCTCCAATCCCCATTGCTCTTGTAGCCAGGTGCTCTGACAAGCAATTCCAACACCGGTATTGAGTGGCACCTCTATAAACCCTGTGACAGTTTGGGAGACAAACTCACCCATCAATCAGAATGTACCTATCAAGATCACTTACCTAGAGCGCCCAGCCACCCTCCAGCACTGTGTACACAGCTTTGCTTGGGCTGGCCTTGGAGCAGTCTGTCTGAGCACCAGTTCAAGGTAGTTTCTGAAAAATTTAGGTACTCTACACAGGCAACAGTGATTCTGAAATACTGACTCAAGAGGTCTGAAGAGCAGGAAAAATTCACATGCCTTTTCACCACTGTCAGGCTGCAGGCACTACAGCAATCGGCTGAGCTTGTAGGAGACTGGAAAACACTTCCCACTTTCTATTAATAATGGCTGGAGATAAATCTCATCAGGAATCACTTTATTCCCCCTAAGTTGTCACAGCACTTTTCTTTTTCCTAAGCCATCCCCTGTGCCTAAACATCCTCTTTGACCTCTGCTCTGCTTCTCAAAACTCTCTTCCTTTGTGCAATCCCCCTGATGACTGGCCAATTCAACACCTCTCAAGTGAATGGTGGCT